CTTAATGAGAATGATGAGCACAATGTTTACAGCACAAGACTATTCTTGGTTTAATTTTGGAGCCACTTGGAGATCGTCCTCCTTGTTCAGTCGTGTCCTTAAATTTTAATATGTGCAAGAACCATAAAGGTGTCAAAGTTTATTATTGTCCTGCAGAATCAATCTGCTGCAACTAACGCCATTGTTGTGATGTTAATCTAGCATAATTACCCCAGGGGTCACAAATAAAATATAATAACTGATAAAATATGATCATTCTAATAAAATATATGAGATTTTTGGAAATCACCAAGCATTTGGAAATCACCTCATTGTCTCCCGACCCCTACTTTGAGAACCACTGCACTAGATTACGCTTATTCGACCAATAATACTGCCAATAATAATAACAACATTATACTAATGCAGATTGTTATAAATATGTTGGTGTATGACAGGGCCCTTTATGTTAGTTTAATCAAACACAAGCAAAAAAAAAGCATATGTATGAAGGACAGACTTATTTTTAAGGCTACATCAAGATTAAGCTGCATTTTGATAAGCCTTAAACCCTGATAAAGAGATAAATCAAGATTAAATCAGCTTTTAGACTTACACTTTAATTCAGCTTCGGTTCTGGATTCAAAACGGACTCGTTAAACCGGACACACACGCACACGGACTCATATTTGCACACATGCGCACACACACCATAAATAATCTTTAAGTCACATGTGAACCGCTGATTAATAAGCACCCCAAGGAGACATGAGGAAAACGATGCCAAAAACAGATGTGTGTCCAAACCACACAGAAGATGACCAGAACACACTGAACACAGATGACACGTAAGTTTAATGGCAAGAAACATAATGGGCATAAACACCCCTTTTGTATTTATTCAATTCAATTCATCGAATTTTGTATGTAAATGTATCAACTAAATTAATTTATTATATTTATTAATTAAAAATAACTCTCCTTTGAGATATTTAGGATATACAGTTGTTAACAATTGTTGACTAAAGTTCTTACTGATTCTGGTATGTGTATGCAAAAAATGCTAATATTACTTAAACCAATTAAAAATGCAATAAATAATAATTAAAAATAATTACAATTCTAAATATAAATAAAACTATTATGAATATAAATAACAAATATTATTGTTGCTATAATGATTATTATAGGCATTAATATTTTATTTTTTATTATTTACTTTTTATTATTTATAATATTTATATTTATTATTATTATTATAATAACTAGTAATAACAATAATAAAATTACTTATTGTTAAATAATAATAAAAATATCAATAATAAGTATTAATAATAACATGATCATCATTAATAATAATTAAAATAATATTTAAATTATAATCATCAATATTGTTAACAAGAACAATAATATAATAATTATTATCATTTAATTATTACTGGTAATAATATCAATTATAAATATAAATGATAAAAAACAAATATAAATAGATTAATAATTATTAAAACAAATAATACAAATAATAATAATAATAATAATAATAATTTAATATATACATGAGATTAATTAAAATTGTTAATACCAAACATATAAATAATAATTATATGTTTTTGTATTAACAATTTTAATTAATCTTATGTATGTATTAAATTTTATTGCTATTGATATTATTTAAATAATAAATATTATTAATTTTGACTAATTATTATTATTGATGATGATATTAATAATCAGTCAAATAGTCAAAATTAATAATAATTATTATTTAAATAATATCAATAGCAATAAAAAGTATCAATGTTAACATCATCATTATCAATAATAATTAAAACAAAAATATTTAAAGTTATAATCATCAATAATTATAACAACAACAACTATTATTATTATATGACTATAACTGTTAATAATATCAATTATAAATATAGATTATATAGTAAAAACAATTATACATATAAATAATAAGATTAATAATTATTAAGAAAAAAATACAAATAATAATAATTATTAAATAATAACAACAGTATTAATAAATGTTATTATTAATATAATGATCAATAATGATGATTATAGCATAATAATATTAATAATGAATAATGAATAATAATAATAATAATAATATTACATTTTAATAATTATAAACAATGAAAACAATTATAAATATTTATCAAATTAATAATATTAATTTAATAATACTATTTATTCAATAATAATAATATCAATAATTTAAATTATTATTATTATCCTCTATGCACCCTGAAATATTTGCTTAACCACAAAACAATTTCTTAATAATATTAAATACTTCTTAATTGCTCAACATCAGCAGGACACTCACCACAGGAGTGGTCAAAGAGGCGTGGCCACTGAGGAAAGAGCTAGACACTGATAGGCTGAGACCAAGAGCAGGCTCCACCTCCTCCGGAAGCCCAGCAGGAGGAGGAAGAGTTGAAAAAGCAGAAGAGGAGGATGAAGGAGGAAAAGTAGTAGTGTTGGAGGCCTGAAGCACAACAGGAGAAAGAAGATACAGAACAGAAGAAAAGATCACAGTGAGTTAAAGCAACTCGGCAGGAAAATATAGTAAAAGCTGGAAAAAGTAGAAGTAGGAAAAGTAAAGGCAACAAGAGAGTCTAAAGCAGGGATCACCAAACTTGTTCCTGGAGGGCCGGTGTCCTGCAGATTTTAGCTCCAACCCTAATCAAACACACCTGAACAAGCTAATCAAGGTCTTATAGGTATACTTGAAACACCCAGGCAGTTGTGTTGAGGCAAGTTGGAGCTAAACCCTGCAGGGTCACCGGCCCTCCTGGACCGAGATTGGTGACCCCTGGTCTAAAGAAACCCTTTTCTTATACATCAGGGTTATTATTAGGGGTGTAATGGTTCACATTTGATCCAAAACGCACATGGCCCACAGATTAAAAACTTTTTAGAATTTGTAGGTTAATCCAACATGATAATAATTGCAGAGAGATCGGCTCCCGCATCATTCAAATCACATGTATCAAAGCATTTTGGCTTCCCCGTAAAATATAATCCTGACGGAAGAAGTTGTGGTGGGACTTACTTACCTACTTAAATGCTTTCTTAGGCTGGTAAATAAAGGTGTTTTCCGTCACTGCTTGTTTAGCCTGCATTAATGCATTCAGAATAAAGCTGCACGACTAAACATTGAAAGGTCGTGATCTCAATTTAAACCCGCGCAACATAAATGATAAACGATAATGATTTGATCATGTTTATTAATCCTTCTAAGCGCTGGCTTTAATTGCCAATCTTAAAAGGGTCACGAAACACCAAAACACATTTTTTTGAGATGTTGACAGTCATATATATGTCCCACGCTGCTATAAACACCATTAGGACACATATACTTCACTAAAAAGTGAAAATTTGTGGTTTTTGCGTTATTTCGAGCAAATTCGTTCTTCTGGTTTGAAACTAAATTTTGAAGCTGCGTCACAGCCATGAGATAATAGCGTGTATTCCAGTGTGTAGACTGGACGTCTGTACCTGGAAGTACTTTGTGACGTCGCTGAGCGTGCAGCATTAATTCATGAGATAGACTTGGCTCAAATCAATCAGCGCACTCTATTGTGTATGCGGTGCAATTTTATTAATATGCATGACAGCTTCGAAGACCTTTACCTGTTACAGTGTTCAGACAGCAAAGAGACGCCACATGTGTTGCCAAAACAAGCGAGAGAAGAAGAATTGTTTGGAGTTACGGGTCATCAGTGTTGCTTTTATTATTTGCTGGAATGAAGGTTTTGTTTTCATTTTCCTGCTATGAGAGCGCAGCTGGACTCACCTGTGGATCAGTGCATGAGACGCTCGACAACAATACGTGTCTAAGGAAATTTTTTTTTTTACCCGAGAGCTTTACTCATCTGGAAATGGTGAAATCTGGATTTGCTGCTCGTCTCCTCTTAATAAAGACACTGTTTTAGTTGGTGTTGATAGTCCTGTCTCTACAGATCTGGTGAGCGATCAGTGCTCTTTGTTTGTTTATTAAGAGGCAAAGTTAGTTCGTATCGTCAGCAGTACTCTTTCAGTGTTTAAAGACGGACCTTAGTCAAATGATTTCTAAGCTACTAAGTTTACAGTACGTTAATATCACTACAATATTATAGACTGAAAGATCTGCTGTAAATGCTGCTCTCCGAGTATAAACATGTGAACACCGTCGTGTAGGATTTTTGCCACATTTTGTGACAGGACAGTCTACACACACACACGGCTTTCTGACGCTACCTACCGACACAGTCACTGTCTTTCTCCCCTATGTCTGTGTGTATGTTTTGCCTCTGTAAAAATCAGCGTGTGATCAAATCGAAACTCCCATTTTTATGCACTTCCCCTACTCCGACACTCCCCCCTAAACAGAGCTGGACACGCCCACTTTCCTGACTTTTTCCAAACTAGAGGTGTGAAAACACCCCGCTGAAACGGGGGTTTCGTGGCCCTTTAAGCCAATTGCAATCGCTTGTTTTTGGTTCAATTTGGACTTTCCCCAACCAATCGCAGAGCCCGGGGGACCAGAGTGAGTGCTTTGACTTGGTCCCACCCTGGTCTGGTTTAGCAATTTTACTAATTTGGTGATGGTTAAGTTCTTTTCATTGCCTTTAAAGAGGAATAACTGACCAAAAACATAGGAGGTTGAGAAAATTTTTGCTCATATAAAAGACATTTTCACATGCTATTTAGAGGCTTTTGCATCTGAACTCTTCATATATATAAATATGAACTCTTAAGAAATCAAGTTGATTTTCATGTTGCCTTTGAACAAGAAAACACTAAAGGAGAGAAAACAAAACAAAACTATGTGAGCTAATTCCCCAAATTTGTATTTAAAGCAACAAAAATAAATAAACAAAGAAACAAATAAATAGAAAAACAAAAAACAAACAAACAAATAAATAAATAAATAAAAAATTTGGGGGCACAAATTCAACAGCAGGACAGGTCTATAATCTTCGCAATCTGATAATATCTGTAACATTTTTACAATAAAAAACATCCATAGTTTCCACTCTCCTTTACATTGACCCTGACAGGGCCACCAAAGCTGCTACATGAGGCCTAATCTAATCTAACGTACCTGAGTTTGACCTCTGAGCTTTAGGAGCGTGACCTCTGACCTGATAACATGCGTTTGATGTGATCATAACTCACCAGTTGTCTGAGTTTTGGAGGCAGCGCTGGTGGTGGGACCCGTTCGTGCGGATCTGCAGCTGAAGCAGGAATGGAGTCGGAGCTGCTGTAGGAGTCGTTGAGGCCGTAAACCTCCTGAAAGCGCTTGTTCCTGCGCTGCTCGTAAATACTCTCGCTCTGAGGCAGCTGGTAGAAGACGGACGGCTGCGGCTCAGAGTAATCCTCCACAAACTGCATGTATTGCAGGACTACACAGAGAAAACAGATGAATTAGAATTACATTTGAATTCTTTTATGTTTTCCCCAATTTCTGTTTAACGGAGAGAAGATTTTTTTAAACACATTTCTAAACATAATAGTTTTAATAACTCATCTCCAATAACTGATTTCTTTTATTTTTGCCTTGATGATAGTATATAATAATTGACTAGATATTTTTTAAGATATTAGTAATCAGCTTAAAGTGACATTTAAAGGCTTAACTAGATTAATTAGGTAAGTTAAGGTAATAAATAACGATGGTTTGTTCTGTAGACAACCGGAAAAAAATGCTTAAGGAAGCTAATAATATTGACAATAAAATGGTTAAAAAAAATTAAAACTGCTTTTATTCTAGCCAAAATAAAACACATAGGACTTTTGCCAGAATAAAAAATATTATAGGAAATACTGTGAAAATTACTTTGCTCTGTAAAACATCATTTGGGAAATATTTGAAAGAGAAAGAAAAAAATTCACAGAAGGGCGGATAATTTTAACGTCAACTGCATATTCTGCGTTTCGATTGATGAAAAAGCATCTTTAAAAGACAGTGTTGTGTAAGTGACTTTAAAAAAAGTAATTCATTACTAATTACATGATCGATAAAGTATTTTAAATAATGTACTAATTACTCTGGCTGAAAAGTATTTAATTACTTAAGTAGCTTAACACATTACTTCTTAAAATCCCTATAAATGTCAACTGGATAGACATGAAATAAAAAACACAATTGATGAAATCTGATCAAATTTATGTTGAAACTGAGCAGATTGAAATTTAAAGAGCTCCTATTATGGGTTTTTGAGAATGACCATCGATGTAGTAACACCGCTCTTAGGGCCTAATCACACTATGCTATCCGAACCGTGCCCAGGCCCTTTTCCCGGATCGTTCGAGAAGTTTGAGTGCCCTGAATCACGCTCAGACACAGTTCACTTGGCCGGCCCTGGCCCGTTTGGAAGGGGTATTATAAAAGAAAAAACTTTTCGACAATCGAAGACATTCGCATTCAGACGAGATTGGATTTCTTATTGGACCGCAGAGTTTGCAAAAAAAAAGCAAATTTGCTAAAAAGTACATTTGTAAACAAAAAAGTCATTTGCGGTCAAAGTAGTTCACTAGAACTTCTTCATGTCCAGTTGAAGTTTACATACACTTTAAAAACATAACCCTGTTTTAAAAGATGTCTGACGTTTAGTCATACTAAACCTTTACTATTTTAGGTCTGTTAGGATTACCTAAATGATTTACATTTGTTAAATGCCAGAATAATGAGAGAATTCATTATTAATTTCTAGATAGTCTAAAGTTTTCCTTGGTATTTTTTTAGCTTTGCTTTTAAACTGTATAACTTTGGTCAAATGTTTTGGTTGTCCTTCCACAAGCTTCTCACAATAGTTTAAAGGAATTTTGGCCCATTCCTCCTGACAGAACCACAAATTTTCTATAGGATTGAGCTCAGGGCTTTGTGATGGCCACTCCAAAACATTCACTCTGTTGTCCTCAAAGCACATTTTAACTAATTTGGCAGTTTGCGTAGGGTCATGGTCTGTTTGGAAGACCCATTTGTGGCCAAGTTTTAATTTCCCGGCTGATGTTTTGAGATGTTGCTTCAGTATTTCTACATAATGTTCTTTCCTCATGATGGCATCTATGCTGTGAAGTGGACCAGTCCCTCCTGCAGCAAAACAGCACCACAACATGATGCTGCCGCCCCCATACTTCACAGTTGGGATGGTGTTCCTAGGCTTGTGCGCTTTCCCCTTTGTCCTCTAAATGTAACACTGGTCATTATGGTCAAACAGTTCAATACTAGCTCCATCAGACCACAGGACATGTCTCCAAAAATGAGTCTTTCTCCCAGTGGAATTTAGCAAATTATAATCTGGCTTTTTTGTTGATTCTGGCTTGTTGATTTTCCCATATTGTCACACAAGGAAGCAGTGTGTTTGAGGTTTTCCTTAAATACTATTCTACAGTTGTGCCTCCAATTAACTCAAATGTTGTCAATTAGCCAAGCAGAAACTTCCAAAACCTTGACATCATCATCTGAGCTTTTTCAGAGGCAGAATAATCTTATTGTATGTAAACTTGACTTTCAAGAAAAGTTATAACAATTTCTCAAAAAACATCTCTCTCATTATTCTGCTATTAAGCATAACAGAAACCAATTTGATAATTCTAATTTACCTAAAAGAGAAAAAGTTTAGTCACATTAACATCTGACTTTTTTTAAATGATTATGTGCCTTTTATACAGTGTATGTAAACTTCTGCTTTCAACTGTATATCAAATAAATTTACTTGCAAAAAATGAACCCTGAATCAGCTTCATCCATGTCTAACTTTGTCACTGACTGCTGTTTATCTGATATAACGCATAAGAAGCAGAAACGCCTGTGAGAACGGTGGGCGGGGAGAAGCAGCTCATTTGCATTAAAGGCACAGGCTACAAAAACAGCAACACGTTGCTGTGAGCGCAGGATGGGTAGAATAAATGATGTGATGGGTATTTTGAGTTGAAACTTTACAGACACATTCTGGAGACAGCAAAGGTTTATCTAACATCTTGTAAAAGGGATAAAATAGGAGCCCTCAAAATAAAAAAATCTGCTTTGTTCTGACTGATTTTTCTCTTACTCTGTTTGCCCTTTTTCTCCGGCAGAGGCGGTGGACTGTCAGCGTCTGTGTACTGTAAAACACCGTCTCCGTTGACCTGCGGCGACCCCGGTGTAACCAGTGGAAACGGCGGCGTCGGCTGCTCCTCCTCTGATAGGTTATCGTAGTGTGACGGGAGGCGCTCGTACAGAGGATACGCCGATATGATTGGTGCAGAGCGGCGCTTCTTCTGTGGGAGGGCAGGGGGAAGCACGCTATTACCCTGTCCAGGTGTGAGGGGTGGAGTCCAGTAGTCTAGGGAGGCCTGATTGGTTACTGGAGCGCTGAAGCGTGGGCGTGCAGGGATGTGGGCGGGGCTTAGAGATTGAGACTCAGTGTTGCACTCTGGAAGAGGGCTCAGACTGCCGCCAGTGTTGGTGGGAAACGGCAGCGGTTCCGAGACGGACAGATCCTGATTTAAAAAGTCGTAATCTGGATCGTATCCCTCTGTAAAAAGAAAAGAAACAAAGAAGTTAATCCTGATAAGTTATTGATGGTCAAGTTAATTTATTTATTAGTTAAGTTAGTGGATGAACTATAGAGTGATAACTTCAAAGTAATAATAAATAACAATAAACTAACAAAAAAAGCAGCTCAGAGATAGAGTATGTTCATATATTGTTTTATTATGACTTTCACCTTTTTAAATTTTATTATAATTAAATAACTTTTTTATTGTGAATACACATATGATATGAATTTTGATATAATATATTGATGTATTATATATATGCTCTATGCAATATTGCAGTTTATACAACAGTTCTGTCTGGTTCTCGAATCTGATTGGCTGATAGCCATGATATATTCAAGTAATATCAGCACCCGTACAGCCTCTTTACCCTTTGTGTATTACTCCGCCCACATACAGCCAGCAAAAAGCAGACACTACAGATGTAAAGTTTAAAAGATGCTTGCTCAGCTGTTTAACTGTCAGCTTATGATTGGAATCCAACGCGGAAGAAAGTAGTTCCTCATACAAAAGGGTTTTGAAGACTCTCCATGTATGATTTTGTTTTTATATACACAATTATGCCGTCAAACTGTTGTATAAACGCAATATCACACTCGTAGCAGTGCGATATGGCTGTATATCGGCACTGGTGGGGGCACTAAAGCAACGCACGCCTCCCAACAGTGCCGATATACAGCCATATCGCACTGCTACTCGTGTGATATTGCTCATTTATACAACAGTTTTGTCCGGTTCTCGAATCCGATTGGCTGATAGCCATGAGATATTAAAGTAATATCAGCACTCCTTCAGCCTCTTCACCCTTGTGTATTACTCTGCCCACATGAGTGGCAAAGCAGAGTACTACAGTTTTACAAATATTGCAGCTGTTGGACAACATAATGCACTTTTGAGGCTTTTTAGGCGAGAATGTAGTTGTTTAGATTGCAACTATGCAATTCATTTATAAAGATAGTGCCTATTTTAAATATTTATAATTTCGGAGATCGTCGGTGGCCATTAGCTTGTCATACTAAGCAGAGCAAAGACGATTGATGTTCTGCCACAAGATGGCGACAGAGACTGCAAAATAGGCGCTTAGTGGAGAATAACAGCATATTTTTTCAGTGTACGTTTCAAACTACAGCTGAACAAATCATTATTAAATAGGTAAATGACTTTCTAAATCGATCTCTTTCTTTTGTATTTTGTAGTGCTGTATTCATACCATAGTAATCTGCTAGTGTTTGTTTTGGCTTTTTCGGGAGTTAATTATTGTGTTCTCCCGATTGCAACAGAAAAATACTTGGAAATCTCTGTAGACTGATGGCATTTCACGCCGTTCAGCCTTGTAATTCTAAAATGTGAGCAAAATCAGCTGTTTTCTCATCACTTCAGACATTACACTAGAGAATCATTCAAACACTAGCTCTAAAGTGACGTTGGTGAATGAGCAACGGCTTCTGCTGTTCTGACGGTCAGCTTCAGAGGTGTATGAACGGCGGAAATAAAGTTCCTTTTGCAGTAGCATGCGATCTAGTCGCAGAAACTCAAATATTTTAAAGCATCTAACTCAAATCATATCCGAATTTTCAACATACAGAGATGATCGGAGCTCTACGCAGTTTCCAGACTACCCTGCATTGGAAATGAATGACTTCCGGTCTGTCGCTTGTCATATGCAGAGGAAAGTCGGCTTGAGGCGCAAGAAATTTATTATAGAAGAAAAAAAGACCTGCAATGGCTTCTCCTACCTCTAAAAAAACAAAAACATTTTTCTGTCTGATATTTGCTGTCAGTTTATCAGGAAGTGACGATTTTGTCCTTTTTGACTCATTGGATGGAAATGCTGCTTTATTTCATGCAATATAACATTTTAATTTGAACCTTTGTATGAAACATTACTGAAGAAACTCAATCAGCTAACAGAAATGAGAAAACAAAACACACTCCCAATCAGTGTGTATGTACCAAGCGTTTCACAGCTGGTGTTGCGAGAGCACTGTCCACTGTCCCGCTCCAGAGACGAAAGCTGCTCATCAGATTTGCTGAGTTTTCCCATGCTGTTACAGGGAGAAAGACGAGGAGATTCTCCATCATATGACTGACTGCCGCCTGAGAAACGCCTCTGGAGGAGATCCACATCAAAGTCCTGCTGCTGGAGCACAGACAACACACACTTACACACACACCACAATGCAGACCTGCACAACTATTTCAGTGTGTGGTTTTAAAAATCACTTGTCTGTAAAATGTTTAGCTTTCTTTGCTGGCATGACAAAAAAAAAACTGCATAACATAAAAACTGTAATACTAAAGCAGTCTTAAACATTGATAGTGCATTTGATCAAAAATATTAACAAGTAAATTTATTTTTTACTATTTAAATAATTTATTCAAATTTCAATATATATTTTTTTATCTAAAATAAATGATTAAATATTGAAATAAAATTTGTATTTTTGCTAATAAATTAGTAATGATTAAATAGTGAAAGTCACAGAAAATGTACGATTATTAAAAAGCCAATTTAAAACTCAAATATTTGTATTATTATTTGTATTAATCTATTATTATTAATTTCTAGACATTCTAAAGTTGACACACATCTCCTTGGTAGTTTTTAGCTTTGCTTTTAAACTGTATAACTTTGGTCAAATGTTTTGGGTGTCCTTCCACAAGCTTCTCACAATAGTTTGCATGAATTTTGGCCCATTTCACCTGACAGATTTGGTGTAACTGAGTCAAATTTATTGTCTTGCTTGCACAAGCTTTTTTGACTCTGCCCACAAATTTTCTATAGAATTGAGATCAGGGCTTTGTGATAGCCACTCCAAAACATTCACTCTGTTCTCCTTAAAGCACATTTGAACTTATTTGGCAGTATGCTTAGGGTCATGGTCTGTTTGGAAGACCCATTTGTGGCCAAGTTTTAATTTCCCGGCTGATGTCTTGAGATGTTGCTTCAGTATTTCTACATAATGTTCTTTCTTCATGATGGCATCTATGCTGTGAAGCTGACCAGTCCCTCCTGCAGCAAAACAGCCCCACAACATGATGCTGCCGCCCCCATACTTCACAGTTGGGATGGTGTTCCTAGGCTTGTAAGCTTTCTCCTTTGTCCTCCAAATGTAACACTGGTCATTATGGCCAAACAGTTCAATACTAGCTCCATCAGACCACAGGACATGTCTCCAAAAATTAGTCTTTCTCCCAGTGTAATTTAGCAAATTGTAATCTGGCTTTGTTGTTGATTCTGGCTTGTTGATTTTCCCATGTTGTCACAGAAGGAAGCAGTGTGTTTGAGGATTCCCTTCAATACTATTCTACAGTTGTGCCTCCAATTAACTCAAATGTTGTCAATTAGCCAATCAGAAACTTCCAAAACCTTGACATCATCATCTGAGCTTTTACAGAGGCAGAATAATCTTATTGTACGTAAACTTGACTTTCAAGAAAAGTTATAACAATTTCTCAAAAAACATCTTTCTCATTATTCTGCTATTAAGCATAAACAAATTTAATAATCCTAACTTACTTAAAAGAGAAAAAGCTTAGTCACATTAAGATCTGACTTTTTTTTTAAATGGTTATGTGCCTTTTATTCAGTGCATGTAAACTTCTGCTTTCAACTGTACATTAGTATCTTGAAAATAACTAGTAAAATGTAATGTACTGTCATCATAGCACGGAATTTAGTTGCACATAACAATATATCTTCAAAAAATAAATGAAAAAAATAAATAAAATAAAAACAAGGGAGAAAAAAAAGAAGCAAAAAAAAGCCACCTAAAAAAAACTTCAGAAAAAAAAAAGAGCAAAAGTATATAAAGTAAGTATTGCTTATATCAAAAGTATTGCTTATTTTCCAGATAGTACTACAGTTATTATATTCCTTTAAATATGAAAGGGCAAAGACTTATTTGGATTTCGAATGTGTTGTTGTACCTGTCTGAGGGCTCCAGGAGGCAGGCTGAGGCTACACGGACCCCGGCTCATCGGGGCCACCACTGCCACACGGGTGGGTGACGGGGCCGACTGACGCTTCTTCGGAGGCAGAGCCGGTGGACTACGGCAGAATATGCAGATTTATGTAAATGAGCTCGCCAGTATGATACAAACAGTGCAACAAGGTCAAAGAAAACGAGCACAGACGGTCTGTTAGTGAGGGTCCGGAATGAAGTTTAATTGAACACACACAGAGACACACAGAAAAGCAGCAGAGCAGATATTGGGTTTCCCTGACTATTCTTTACACTTCAATAATAACCATGGAAACATCAGAATAAACTAATGAGGGAGAAATCAAAGCGGGATGCGCTTCTAGAACTAAATACTGAAGGAATGTGTTCCGTTTAGAACATTTTGTCTCATAATCTGTTTTTTAAATATATAGCAGTGCTTCCCACACATAGGCTCTAACTTGGGTGGCCGCCCAGGTATATCAACAACCGACCAAGTATATTTAGTGACACTTTTTTTTTTTTTTTACTGTTATTAACATCCTTCACATTTTTATATCCGCCCAATAACAAAGCATCCAGGATTGATTAAGTAGTGGAACATTTATCTCGTTTACCCATTTCGTTCTTTGTGCGCGAGACCTGTCAACACTCCCACAAGCTACGTTTCCATCTAGCTATTTTTATGTGCATTTTGGATATGTGCATAAAAAATCAGTTAATAAAAACCAGAGATGTATAGTAACGAAGTAGAACTACTTCACTACTGTACTTAAGTACTAAAAGGCAGTATCTGTACTTTACTGGAGTATTATTTTTTTCTCCTACTTCCACTTTTACTTAAGTACATATTTTCCATGAGTTTAATACTTTTACTCCGATAGATTTTTTATGTGCTGCATCGTTACTCGTTACTAGGGGTGTCAAAATGATTGAAATCAGTTCAGTAATAATAGGTCATAACCGGTTATTACGTGATGACGTCATTTATCTCCTATGCGCGATGTCGCAATACTATGGCGAAGGACGGAGGAGCGAGGGCGAGAGAAGGCGGCACAGCACTCCAGCCGCTAGTTTACTATTGGGGAGAAATGTTGTAAAACTTCACCTCTGCCTATCTCTCGCTCTCTCACTTTGGACATTTGACCCGCTGGCCAGTTTTTAAGGTAACTTTTCCTCTCTTCTTAGCTGTTAAAGCTGTGGATCTAGACATGAGCGTGCCTCATGTGCAATTAAGTTTTCTCCACTGTGTCTATTACCTGTGATAAACGCGTATTCTTCCCGCCATGGGTGAACAGCGCTTATATTTCTAAAGCCCTTTCTGTAGGGGACAATAACCAATCATAGACCCGCCTGTCAGCGCTCAAAAAGCAGGCGGGATAATATTGACATGAGTTTATTAGCTGTAAATGCTCGTGCTGTCTTCTGTGCATGAGTTTTGTTTGATACATCCAGAAAAAGTGTTTTCTTTGAGCAGGTCAAATTAAGGGCACAGTTCGTATATCTGACTGCTGTATTAAAGGACAAAATTTTATTACAAAAAACCCTTTAACTGTCACACCAAGACAAAAGCAATAGAATTTTTTTTATTGCATTTCTTAACTCCTAATGTCGCTAGTTAACACAATCAGTGCATTTTTATTTAACACATCACATAATTTCTAAAATATCAGCCTCTACCAAATGGTTGAGATGTTGGTTTATGGTAAAAGTACCAGAATTAATAAATATACTACAGAAAATATGAACTGTAAGACCAATTTCATTAAAAACATGATAAAAAATAAATAACAATTATTACTAAATCATAGCCATAAGCCATAAAATATTTCAGATTTTCATTTAACACAGTAATATAAACATTTTCCAGTTTTTTTTTACAATAAAATCAAAATCAAGTGAATTAGTGAAGCAGGATTTAGTTTGCTTGTTTAGTTTAGTTTCACGAGTGCTTCCAGAAGACAGAACTCCTGTTTATTGTGGTATTAACCAATCAAACTTCAAAACTCCCAAAGTGTGAGTGTGTGTTTGTGTGTGTGTGTGTGAGTGAGATTGAATAATGTGTGAGTAAGAGAAAACAACAGTGTGATTGTACCTGTGTGTGCGTCTGTGTGTGTGTGTGTGTGTGTGTGTGTGTGTGTGTGTGTGTGTAAGAGAGAGTGTAAAAACAATTGCAACCTATGTAATGTCCCCATAATTCACAAAAATGTGTGTGTGAGAGAGAGAGAGAGAGAGAGAGAGAACTGTGTGTGTGAGAGTGTATGAATGTGTGAGAGTGGGGAGAGAGTGGGAGAGAGTGTACATTTAGGTGTGTGCAGGGCAGTGTGTGTGTGTGTGTGTGTGTGTGTGTGTGAGAGAGAGAGAGAGAGAGTATGTATGTGAGTGAACATGCTGAATTATCTCATCAGTGAAGGCATTTTCTGGTAAAAGGGCCTGACGATGTGAGTTCTTGTACCATAGAAACTATTTACAGAGAAAAACAGTATCATAAGCCATGTTTCTTTTCGTTCTGCTTAATCAAGTACCCCAAAAAAGATATTTAAAATAAACAAAACAATTAGTGTATTTTGACTGCTTTCTTTAATAACTACATTACACAATACTTGTACTTTTACTTTCAGTACTTGAGTAGTAAATTTTGAAATAAACTACTTGCAATACTTAAGTACAAAAAATGTTGAATACTTTTGTACTTCCACTTAAGTATGGTGCTTAAAGAGCACTTCTACTTCTACTCAAGTCAATTTTTGATAAAGCACTTGTACTTTTACTTAAGTATGGGTCTCTAGTACTTTATACATCTCTGATAAAAACGCTAAGATGTGCATCAATTTTGCAAATGGGCATAAAAAAATGTTGGATAAACGTTTTATTTGATAAGATAAGATAATAATCATTATTATCATTATTAGGACTATGGATGCCACGGTTCTCAATATAATATTGAACCATTCGGGACGACCTCCACGGTTCAATACGAGCTTGTGAATTGTGGTTTTCTCGGTTTTAGTTTAAATAATTTATGTGCTTTTTATATCTCCCCGGATTGACTGTATGTGCCGGTAAGTCCATAAGCTGAGATGAGGAAACTCCTCATTATTATTAAAATCATTATTTTTTCTATTGTTTTACTTTTCATTTATTATCATCATTATTATTATTATTTTGTATGTTTGAATCAGATTTTTATTGTACATGTTAAAAGTTACTAAAATCAACAAAAATAGTGTTAAAACATAAATGCTTGTGTTGTTTAAAGACACAGTTTATACATCTGACTGTTTTATTAAAGGACAATATTGTATTACAATTTATAGGCATAGTGTATACATCTGAATGTATTATTAAAGGACAATATTGTATTACAAATAGTATATAAATATATTTATACATTTTAATACAAGAATTGCTGTGCTGTGAAAAAAATATACAACTGTGTATGGAAAGCATCGTCAATGCACCGTGGTGCACCGAGATATCAAATTGAACTGAATCGATGGCATGATAATCGTAACCGAACAGTGAGACCAGAGTAGGTTCACAGCTCTAATTGAAATGTCAAAATTTTAACAGCCACAACTATATTTCAGCAGTTATGTGAAGCAAAAAAAAGTGCTGATTTGTTGATTTGTGATAGGTAATGCTTGAAATATAAACATCATGTCTGTTGTCCTAAGAAGCACCAATTACATCACTTGTTTCTTGTGCTTGAATGTTAAAACGGCCCTCCTATGAATTGTCAATCACTGGATTGGCCCACCAATTTGAGTTTGAGACCCCTTTTCTTTGTTATTATTTGACTATTATCTGTCATTTTCAGAATAATTAATTCAGTTCGAATTTAAAGCTGTAAGTTTTGCCTCTTTGTCTCCATCTCTGTTTAAAAGGTGAAACGGCAGTTGTTTGTAGACGTACAGTTGAAGTCAGAATTCTTAACAGCCAGAATTATTAGCCCCCCCGTTTTATTATTTTTTTCCTAATTTTTGTTTAACAGAGACATTGTTTCAGCACATTTCTAATTATAATATTTTAATAACTCATCTCTAATAACGGATTTATTTTATCTTTGGCATGATGACAGTAAATAATATTTGACTAGATATTTCTTAAGACACTTCTATACACCTTAAAGGGACATTTAAAGGCTTAACTAGGTTAACTAGGCAGGTTAGGGGAATTGGGCAAGTTATTGTATAACGATAATTTCTTCTGTAGACTATCAAAAAATATATATAGCTTAAAGAGGCTAATAATTTTGTCCTTAAAATGATGTTTAAAAGATAAAAACTGCTTTTATTCTAGCCAAAATAAAACAAATAACACTTTCTCTAGAAGAAAAAATATTATCAGACATACTGTGACCATTTCCTTGCTCTGTTAAACATCATTTGGGAAATATTTAAATAAGAAAAAAAATTAAAGGGGGGCTAATAATTCTGACTTCAACTGTATATTCTTTATGTGATATAATGTTTGCATGTATTCACATTAAGATCGATTGCAAAGCATAATTTAAAAAGACAAATATTCATTCACACTCCTTTTGGTATTTACAAATTAGGCTTCATTGGTTAGCCATGCAAATTCACTGCAACCAGTCTCTCTCCCCTGATTGGCCAGCGGTCTGCAATCCTATTGGACGCACACTGCCACACAACCACATGCAGCCACCAATCAGAGTGCGAGGGGCATGACTGTGTGATGTCATAATGCACACAGAGCACCCAATTGGCTAACGTACGTTTCCATCATCGTAGCCCTCCGCTGCCCGGTAACAGGATCGGAGCACAACTGCATCCTGTTCCTGTCCCAGGACAAGCAAACCATCACAGAAGACAGAGAAAGAAGATGAGCAGAGGAGAAACAAAGAAAAAGAATGAATGAAAATACAGGAAGACAAAGACGGCGTTTGATTGGAGGACATAAAGATGGAGAGAGAAACAAAAACAGAGACAGCAGTTGAAAGAATCACAGTGAATAAAACAAACCACATAGACTTCACCCAGAGAGGATGACATACTTAAAGTTATGAAAATAAAAATGAGTATTTAAGAAAAGCTCATTCATTTTCAGATGCAAAATTTGGTGTAGATTGGCTGGCGGCAGATATTACAACATTATATAGGAAAAATACAGATAATCAATTTAACTTTAACAATATTTACAGTTTTCTACTTCAAAAAAAGTTTGATAAAAAAATAGAATAAAAAATAAAAAAATAAAAAAAACGTATATCGGTATTATTCTGATGCCTGATATTACAACATTTTATATGTTGTAATATATATGCTGTACTGCCTCTTCACCCTTCTCTCTTGTGTATTAATCCACCCACATACAGTAATAAGCAGAGGACACTTTACAGTTTGACAAATGTTGCACTGTTGGACAACATAATGTACTTTTGAGGCCGTTTTAGTCGAGAATGTAGTTATTTAGATTGCAGCTATGCAGTTTATAAAGATAGTGCCTATTTTATATATTTATAATTTCTGAGAGATAGCATGTCGGCGGCCATCAGCCTATTGACGTTGTCCATCCATAAGGTGGCGACACAGGGTGCTTTCACACCTGCCTTATTTAGTTCGATTGAATCGCACTAGAGTTTGTTTCCCCTTTTGGTGCGGTTTGTTTGGGCAGGTGAGAATGCAGCAATCGTACTCGAGTGCGCACCAAAAGCAGACCAAATAAGCGTACCGAGACCTGCTTGAAGAGGTGGTCTCGGTACACGTTCAAACGAACCCTGGAGCGGTTTGTTTGTGGTAAGAATATGATCCGTACTAAAACGGGTCCAACCGCAAAAAGTACTGCGCTGTGCATTATGGGATATGGAGGAAAATATTTGTTGACAGCGCTTTACCAACAGAGAGAGAGAGGGGAACACATTACCTGATGGATCATTGGTAATATTTCCGCAAGATGAGCATGTCGCTGTTTAGCTAAATTAATTCACGCCTCCTCCTGAAGTGACGAGCGATGCATTAAACACTGTTTTCCAGCCGCGACTGCGCTTCATTTTCGTAATGTATAGTTTGTCTAAAGCAGGCATACAATCAGCCAGCGCAGTCGTCCCTCCAGAGTAAAAGGTTTTGTTTACTTGCGGGAGTTCACTGGCATTTTCCCGCACGTGAATTCTGACCAATCAATAAGCAGTTCATGAAATATGTTTAACAACATCTGGCCAATGAGAGATGTGGATTTTGTCAGATGACTGCATTTTGGTTCGTTTCAAATGGTTCGGACCAAAGCCAGCAGTGTGGTGTGAAAACGACCCAAAGACGGCAGAAGATGCAACAATGTATCATTTATTACCCTTGGTGCGGACCAAATGAAGCGAACTACAGATGTGAAAGCACCCACAGACAACATAAGGAAAAAATACAGCGTAATTTTTAACTACAGCTAATAAAATCATTATTAAACAGGTAAGTGATATTCTAAGTTGATACCATCGTAATTGTAGTGTATTAAGAGTGAGATGGACTCGCAAAAGGAATGTGTTTGTGTTGGCAGAAAGACAGAAGAAATCCCCGCATGTGTTTAGCGTTCTTCCTAATCGCAAACACAACAGCAGTCTGGTAGTGATTGCTCTGATTTTTTTCAGGGTTAATTATTGTGATATCCCGATTGCAACAAATAAATATTGTAGACTGTAATAGACTGTAATTATGTAGAGAGAGATCTCTGTACTTATCTTAAAATGTCTGCAAAATCAGCTGTTTTGTCATCACTTTAGACATTATGCTAGAGAATCATTCAAATACTAGCTCTAAACGTTGGTGTATTAGTAACGGTTTCTGCTGTTCTAACATCAGCTGCAGATGTGAATGAATGGCGGAAGAAAGTAGTTCCTAATACAAAGGGGTTTTTAGACTCTCAGTGTTTGATTTTCTTTTTTATACACACAATTATGCCGTTGAACTGTTGAATATACGCAATATCACACTCGTAGCATTGTGATGTGGCTGTATATCATCACTGGTGGGACACTATCCTATAATGCACGCCTCCCACCAGTATATATATATATATATATATATATATATATATATATATATATATATATATATATATATATATATATATATATTAGGGCTGTCAAAATTAGCGCGTTAACGCACGTGATAAGTTTGAAATATTTAACGGAAAAAAAACAACAGAAAAAATAACGCAGTTGCAGTTTTTTAGTTCTTGTTGTGGCCTATGTGTGTTTAGGGACGGCGCGTCCATAGAGGCGACCTAGGTGGCTGCCTTGGGCAGCAGAATAGTGAGCAAACCCCCGGTCCTCACATTCATCCGCTACACCTACACTCTCCCTCACGGTCCTCTGCCTTCAATACGAATAACGGCGTGATTGTCGTTTGCCTAGAGAGCCAGTTCAGTTTGCTCTGGCCCTGCGTGTGTATAACCTGTATAATCTATGTATATAATATAATATATAATATAACATATATATAATATAGTATAATATAATGTGTATAATCATTTGACAGCCCTAATATATATATATATATATATATATATATATAAATAAATATATATATATATATATATATATATATATATATATATATATATATATATATATATATATATATATATATATATATATAAATAAATGTTTTAATATCAGCTATCAGCCAACCTACAATTTAATTTTTACATCTAATAATGAATGAGCTTCTTATATCCTAATTTTTTTTCCTTTTTAGAAATGTAATGTGATATTGGACAACACCTATCCTGCACTTTCGCACAATACATTTTTATGCCGAGTTCAGACTGCATGATTTTCAAAGTAGTCGTGTCACAGATGTTTTCACACTGTTTGACTATCTGGGCTAGCGTTTCGTCGCTGCTTTGTTTACACTGCAAGATGGATCGGCGACAGGGACTTTCACATTGCATGACTTTACCATAGGAAGAATCGCCGACAACTTCGTCCAAACTACGTCTCACAGTCAAAAACACGTAGTATATCTTTTGATATTAACTACATAATAAGAGAGAAGCCTTTAATGGGGTAGAACATGTACATGTTTGATCACCTGGGTTTAAAGGGAATTAGCCATTTCTCCTCAATGTTGATAATAAACTAATTTCTTTCTGTATTAAACGTCAAACAGACACGGTTGCTCCTGAGTCCTGTCAAACCTCCACTAGTTTTTTCTCCATTTCGTGGGTCCAAATAAACCGAAAAAGAGCGCTTTTAACTTCTCCCCCAGCCTCCCGCTGGCCTGCAGCAGGTATACACACACGCACACACAAGTGAATGCTGCTTTCTCATTGGCTGTAGGCAATCGCTGATGTTATTTTCAGTCAAAACTCAATTCACACGGCATGATTTGAATTCTCTCAGATCGCGTCTTTGATAGTTCATACTGTGTGATTGTCCTTTACGTGCACGAGAACCGATTTGCCTGTGATTTCAGGCCGGCGGCGATTTCTCAAAACCTGTCGGCGAGCCAAAATCGGGGCTAAAATCATGCAGTCTGAACTAGGCATTACTGATAATGTATAAACTTTACTTACATCCTCATGTTTTTCTTCATATAAATAAAATAACAACAAAAAAACCTGCACAATATTTTTTTATTGAAAATAAGCATTAAAAAAAATGATTATTTGAACTGACGTTAGGAAGTGTGACATTTATATTCAATGACATGAACGATAGCTTTAAATGTCACTAATGTAAAATTAAATGCCACATACGCTAAGTCTATAGCTAACATTATCTCACACACCCTCCACACACTCACAGACACACCAGACAGTAACAATAACTGGCAACCATCAGCATTTCCCCTTTTGAAAAAGTGTAAATGATGCTCTTTTACAGCATCATGTCTCTAAAATCAGACAAAAATAAGCGGAAAACCAAACTTCTGCTTCAGAAGTCATTGACTGAGTGGATGCTGTCATATGAATGAGTGTGAGTGTGTATATCGGATGTGTCCTCATTCACATATATTTAGATACAAGCGGAAATAAAGCAGATTTAAGAATGAGCATGACTCATCTGCGGGAAATCACCATCACACTAAAGATAAACAGTGTACTCTAATGCACTTCAACCTGCACTACAGCACACACTGAACTACAGCACACAATGTTGACCTCATTAATGCATATACACACTACCAACAAGCATGTTTACCTCAATCTGATGGCTAAGAAGGAAACAGTAAGGTATAAAATCAACCAATATCAACCTAATAATTGGCAAAATCATTGCATACATTATTTAGCATGCGTTCGGTGTAGTCTTCTTTACGCATTTCTTATCAGAAGCAGGTTCTTACACCTTTTCCAAAGTGAAATTTAAGAACTTTGAAAGCTCTTAATAGTAATAATAATATATAATTATACTAAACCTCCATATATATTTCTAATATTTTATAAGGAAAGGTAAATTACATATTAACATACATATACATATATAAACATATCAGATGCTATTTTTATAATATTCTATAGTAAAGTTATAGTGTTTTAAAGAAAAGTTGGTCCCACTTTAGATTAAGTGCCCTTAACTACTATGTACTTACATCAAAATATGAATATAATGTACTTAAATGTGTTCATTATGTACTGGAGAACACTTCTGGTGGTCTTGAGGTGGGAAACGGGTAGGGTTAGGGTGGTTATTTGTTGGTTTAAAGAGAACTTATCATGTAAAAATCAGTTTTATAAGAGGTTTAAATACAGTTGCGAGCTACTTTGGTGATTGTCCCTTTAAATTCAAATGAGATTGTTCTCTTTTCAAAAGAGGGCGGTGCTACAAATGCCTGTGTGTCAGCATAGTGGCAGATTCAAAAACAAGACTAACGTTCTATGCTAATGAGATAGAGATGATCACTGGTGGGCGGGGCTTACCCCCTCTGATTTAAATGTAGTTGTGTGGGATTTTGGTGACTGTCGCTTTAAATTCAAATGAGATTGTGCTCTTTTCAAAAGAGGGCGGAGCTGCAAATGTCTGTGTCAACAGTGGTAGATTCAAAAACAAGACTAACGTTCTATACAAATGAGATAGAGATGGTCACTAGTGGGCAGGGCTTTCCTTCTCTGATGACACATACAAAAGGAGAATGTCAATCAAAATGTTTCTGCAGACTGTTTTTATTAAGTGTAATTATAAAACATGGAATTAATTAATTTTTACCATTAGAGGCTGGTTATATTCACAGACTTTTTCTGCTTAAACTCCTTATAAAGTGATTTTTGCATAATAGGTTCCTTTTTAAAAGCAAAATAAAAGTATTGTTAAACTAAGCCATGCCCCCTCACCTGTGCTCTGCTAGTTTGGGTCCTGGTAGAGGAGGTTTGGGTGGAGCCTCCTCCTCTGACATGTCAGTCAAGCTGTCAGTGGGCGTGACAATGGGCGTGGTCTTACTCAGGATGGCCTTCTCTCTTTCGGTTAGAGGATTTTCACACCCACTGAGACACAAGAAGACAGAGAAACATTAGTAACTCATAAATGGTCTAGATTTTTGTTAAGCTTTTAAGTATTAACTAGTGGCATAATATCTGCCTATTATTAAGATATTGGTTATTATATGATCTTACTCTACAGCCCTAATCCAACCCTACACTGAAACCCAAGTACTACATTAATAATTATTAATAAGCAGCAAATTAAATGTTTATTGAGGGAAAAAGTCATAGTTAAAGGTTTTTTATTTATTAATGGTTTATTAACTCGATTGAGTTGACAAATCTGAACTTTGGCAGATATTCGCACCGAATCAACCAATCAGGAGCTTGCATTAGTAGTATTTTTGATCTAGGGCCTGTTGTTAGCGTCCCGAGGTGATATCTTCCTGTCGAAGTGGGACAGCAGGTCATCAAATAAGGACCGGCTTAGTTGAAAGTCATCAAAGAGCAGTTTCTGAAGGAGTTGATGAACACAGAGCACAGAGCACAGAGCTGGTGCACCTCTGAAGGATCTGATGGACCCAGGCATGGCACTGAACGAATCTATAACATTTTTCAGCCTTCTTAAAGCACATAATGCACAGCTACTCTCTTGATAAAATCCATGTTAGTCATTTATCAAAGCAATTAGAGTAATCTGGCCAACAGATGTACCTTCAATGATGTGAATATGGGTCTATTGTGATGTGAATTTCACGCACAAATAAAGCAAATTTGACATGCAAGTAAGGCAAGTAGAATCAAAAGTTCAAGAATCTAATTACTATTTTCTATTAGCGCAAGCTGCATCTGATGTGAACACCGCATGATGGCATTTCTCCTTCCAAAAAAAAACGAAAACTAAAATGTAAAATAATTGTCGTTAACTGAAATAAAAATAAAAACGGGAGTTTTAAAAAAAAAAATAGAACTAACTGAAACTGTATTGTTTACATACAACTAACTGAAACTAACTAGAATTATAGCAAAAACCTTCTTCGTTTTCGTATTTTAAAATGTATTTAATACATAATCTTACTGTAAGCCATTTAGAAGTAAATATAATTCGCGCTACAGGTGTTTGACCCGTACGGCACCTCAGAGTCTGTAGTCCTTCTGCCATTGGCCAGATCGAGCCGGTTCTCCTCTAGTCATCCTCGCTGTTGCTCCCGTGACAAAAACAACGAGTGGACATGACAGCAGCACGGTGACAGCATTAAATACAGACACTTAAAACTATTACTTTAACACAATTGTTCCCAATAATGGGGTTTATTTCTGTATCACGATCGCGAACAAATCTTTTTAACCAGATCTTCTAAGTGAACCGGTTGAACTAGTTCACCAAATCGAACTGAATCATTTGAAACGATTTGCGTCTCCAGTAAACACTTATCCACAAGCTACTTACTTTTTAACAAGCCTAATACCCCCTCCGGCTCTAAATAATCCAATATATACTCTTATTCAGTTATTAGAACAGTAGCAGTAATGTTACATTGAGAAGCGGTGAACTGATAATACAGCGCATGCAAGATTCGGTGAACCAAACACAAACAGCAGCCTTCTGTGTGACTAAACTAAACTTGCAAAACTGCAGTGTGGGTGAAACGAGGGCTTAAATGAGAGGATCCGGTGACAAACGTAAGTTTATTTCATAACAGACAATTGTAATAAAGTTTAAATAAGTGAATCATGATTCAGTTGGGTTGCAAATCTTTACTGTTAGACATTTTTCAGATCATGGTGATGTTTTAACTGACAGAAATTACTATTGCTGAGAATGCCGACTACATGTTCAGTCCGACAATCCGCGTTAAAAATCTGAACTTCCCATCACTACTGTGTATCTAACCTCAGAAGCAGCCTTGCACACATATTGTACTTAGGGCTGCTATCCTGTGGGCTGTTGTATTGGAATTTGAGGATGGGTAGATGGTTGTGGTAGTTGATCGTGTTCATGTGTTCTCTGAATACAGGTTTCAAAAAATGTTTTTTGAGTTTTTATTATACAATATTTATCCAGTTGATTTTGAATCTTGCACCAAACAAATATCCTCATTTAGAAAAAAAAACTAATACTAAAAACCAATAAAAACTAAACTAAAACTAAGACAATTCAAAATATAGAAACTAATAAAAACTAGTAAATCTGCGTCTAAAACGAACTGAATTTGAAAACAAAAAATCTAAACGAAATAGAAACTATTATAACCTTCTCCCATGACTCCACCACAATAAGTCACCCCGTCATCAAACTACGCCTTTGTTTGTTGTGAATACAAATAGGCCCAATCCCAATTCTACCCCTTAGCCCTTCCCCTTACCCCTACCCCTCGTTTTGCGCGAGCGCACCAAGGGGTAGGGGGGGTCCCAATTCTCTTTAGCTTGAAGGCGTAGGGCTAAGGGGAAGGGGTGAATAGCCCTTCGAACAAAGATTTTTCAGGACCACACTTGAAACCAAGGGGTAAGAAAATTTCCCAGAATACACCTGCACAACGGCATTATTGCTGAAACAGGAAGTAAGGAGATCCACAAATTAGTATTTATTGTCATTATTACGAATTTTTACGACAAACAAACACATGTTTTAATATATTCATAACCGCGTTCGTGTTTTACCGTCATGCTTATTAATAACTCCTGTACAGCAGTCCCACAGCATTCTGACTCTCGAATACCCTGTCAGTAATGTCTAGTGGCTGTCAATGGGCTTTTAACAGTGTCTGCTATAATGTTAATGTTGTTTTTGGTGTGTTTACATTGATGAATATGGCCACTGTGTAAATACATAGTAAAGTTACGATCTTATTGCCACATTAGATCGTTATGATAACATGATATATGCCTTCAGTGATTTCCTGAAGATGAATACCAAAAAATAACACAACTGGAATCACTACAGCAGTCGCCATCGTCTGATCTCACATGAAGCAGGAGATCAAGAGGACATATGATGACGTGTGCATGTGCTGTAGTGCTGTCCCAATTCTTACGCCTGTTTCACACCGCAAGCGTCAGCGGCGCGTGAGCAGAGCGTGAGCAGCGCGTGTGTTTTCGGCGTCCATGTTAACAAATGAGAGCTTTCATACCGCACGCAGCAGCAGCGCGTCAGAGCGAGGCGTGAGCGTCGCCGAAGCAGCAGTGCAGCGATAGTTTCGGCGCTGGGTCTATTTTTGACACGCTGCTCATGCTCAATTAAAGTGACAGTGCTATGATAATGACCAAAACACATTGAATGACAGTAAAAAGTAGCAATTTTACCCAATAAATGCGTTAATAATGTCAAATGGTTTATATATAGTCATTCAAATGAACTTAAAATGATTAAAAACGGCAACAAACATTTTTTTAGGCCCGAACTACAAAACCAAATGTAAAACTATTTTACTATCAGTTTTGCTTAAGTTGCACACTAGTGTTGTAGGAGAGGGGAAATGGAATATTTACGGGATTTGTAGTCCATAGCGAAGTGTATTGTGGGTAGTGTAGTTCGACACGCATGCTGGATTATGTGAGCTCGCTGTGTTCTGTGAAGCTGAGCAGAGCAAGAAAGTTTTAATCGGGTTTGTTTTATGTTCACTCGAATTATTCCTACCGGGAACTGTTTGCACTGTGAATCTGACAACACAAAAATAAGTAAAAGAATGGCATGCATTAGTTACTTTTGTCCGTCTCATCATCTGCACGAGCATGAATTAACGAGCTGTTATTCTGCCGCTGGACATCACTGAAGCGGAGAAAGTAATAGTAGTTTGATCATGTATAAATATCATTATAACTATATTGTATAAATATGATTATAACTAGGTCTACAGCAACCTGATAATCAAAAAACAAATGACATGATATCACAGGCGATTGTCCTCTGACTGTAGACACTTCTCATATAAGTTAGCTTGAGAAGCATACAGCACTATTTGATCTATAAAATTAGTAAAATAAACATTTGCAGGTTAAAGAAACAGCATAGGAGGGGCCTTGGTGCAGATGAAAAGTTTAAAAAGTGTATTTGTATATAGAGAGACATGGATAACTAGATAGAATAGACAGATAGGTTGATCTCTGCAGCAGCTGCCGAAGAGCTGCGCGCTGCAGACGCAGCTGGTGTGAAAGGCAAACGCCTGCGTGCTGCTACTGCTCGACATACGCGCTGCTCACGCTCTGCTCACGCGCCGCTGACGCTTGCGGTGTGAAACAGGCGTTAGGGGTAAAATTTGAAGCCCTTCCCCTTCACCCTCGGTTGTAAGGGCCAAGGGGAAGGGGAAGGGGTACAAAAATAGAATTATGATTGGGCCTTACTCTGGCGGACAAAATGATAAAATATTGTGCCTTCAAAAGATGCCTTTTATAACATAACAACATGTACCCATAATGCAAAAACAGACAAATCCACATCAGCCTTAACGAAAGTACCTCTCTGTTTTGGCCACAGGAGGCGCTGGTTTGCTGGGGGATGTTGGGGACGGTTGGTCATGTTTCTCTATAGTGAGTTTCACAAGCTCCTGTTACCAAGATATACACACACACAGGTTATAAATATGCCAGTGTTGTTTTAACCTCGTCACAAATGCACTTCTCATCCCTCACCTTCACACCATCCAGCACAGCTTTGATCACCGTGGTAACAGTCGTCACAGTGTCCTTGTCGTCGAGGTCGATGCCCTCCAGCATCACCTGGTCGGACCAGCGAATCAGAGTCGCCAAGCTCTGATAAACACGGTTGTGACAGGAGGACATGGCGGAGCTGTGGTGCAAGAGAAAGGGAATAATATGAGGAAAAATAAGTGAGGATACATGCTAGGCTTATGATTAAATAACATTTCTAGTCACACTTTTTGTTGGTTTGTGATCGACAACATGACCTTTGTCAGGTAGTGTACATCGGCTCATGAGTGCAAGCTGAAAATACGATGTTTATTAGCAGTGAATACTCACCTGTGCTGTATCCGAGCCTCGACCTGCATCAGAGGCAAAATAGCCTCTAAAACTTTACTAGCCGAACCAGGAAGCATCTGGAGAACTTTGGTGTCAACGTTCATCTTGTCCACAATCGTCTTAAAGTATCTCAGAGCGCTGACCACATCCTTCTCCTGTTCCTCCAGTCGACTCACCTTCTGTGGCAACACATGCACATGATTTAGAGCTTGTGTGTGTTTATATTTAACCCTTGTGTACTGTTCAAATTGGCAACCCTTTCGTTATGTTGGTGGCTTTTTTTGCCCCATTGACTTCCATTATAACCACATTTCTTCTTGATTGTTGGTGGTTTTCCCTGTTGGGAAGAGGTAAAATGTATAATTTTTACTGTTGATCACCAGTTGGCAGTATTAACCCTTTAGATAAGCTGGTATAAATATGTTTCTGACTTTTATATGGAGTTCTTTGGAGTAAAACAGCAGATTATAGTGTGTGCGTTCTTAAACATATCAAGGTAATTGCACACTCACAAATGACCACACACACTATTGACCCTTCGCTAAGCCACACCTAAAAACAGTCACCCACCAATCATGGCTTAGCTATGCGCAGGAGTTCTGTCAAGCTTTCGAGCGAGGCAAACAAGCCGAGGCGTTGTGCATATGGATTATGCAAATCTAATACAAGGTATCCTTAAAGTTTGGACAGGGTGGTGGAGTTTTTTACCTTTTCAAAACCTAAAACAAAGGGGAGAAACAAAACAAAGGGGAGAAATGCCAGCGCGGATCAAGCTGTGTGAGGGGGGTTAAATGAGCGGGGTTAAGTGGGTTTTGTTTTGATATCCCTGACACATTCAGTAGTAGATCGACAGCAATAACTCACACACCTCTTACCCTAAACAGATCTAAACTGTGATTCCTACAAAAATACAAAGCAGTTTAATCCCTCATCATAGTAGTCATACTATTAGCAATCATATTTCCATCTGTCTCCTATGAATATTTGAAATAACATGTCAACAGAACCAAACTGAGATATGATCACAATCTGAGCCCCTGCGATCAATATGCTTCACCCGCAGCTGTTTTTCAGTCATTTATATCCCTCGTGCCCATGTCAGAGCTACAGAGAGTCTTTTGGAGATTTAGTCATTGGTGACTATGTTATAGCGGGTTAGTGTCTGCTTTTATATTTGGTGTCGGATTAATATTTGCTGGTAGGAAAAATCTATTTGTTCACTTCTGCTATTTATACTTAGATTTGCATTTTAATTTATTTATTTATTCCCTGTAACTGCAAATTCGAATAGAAACTGTATAAAAAGCACACAAACACGCTGACAGATATAGGTACTGTACATTGTTATGGGTCAATGATGCCAATATTCTGCAAAAATCCATCAATTTCCCCTTTCTGGCTGTTCTTTCTGTTAATGAATGATGTAAAAGCACTGTTTCCTCGTCGGTTAGTAACGCTATATTTCATTGCACAACAATTAATCTATCTGGCTTTTTTGCTAAAAAGATAATCAAGGTTTAATAAGTTATTATAAGATTATTTTTAAATGTCACCTCTCCTGTTGTGCATGAACTAAGCTGTTGAATGGTCAGCTTACGAGGCGGCTAGGCTAACCTAGCTTTAATTTTGATTGAATTATTTTCCAATCGGTTGCCTGATCATGTCGTTAATATACCCCTGTAATGCACACTGCAGTCCTTTTTCGTCTGGCTTTCTCAAATATCTCACCTGTTTGCCAAAAACGACAATGTCTGACAACGGCGCATATACATTGTAATAGACGTGCCAGGTAGAGATCTGCGCGGGACAAAATTTTGAATCCCACTCCCGCCAGGTTTTTGCCCGAACCTATATTCAGCATTTGTTGTCCCGCTGCCCGACCTGCCCCGTTTTCTACTCGCCGCATCCGTTCCCGCTAACAGACGGGGGGAGAACAAAACTGAAAACCACCCAGCTATAAAACACCCAGCTCTCTCTTTCAATCACACACACACACAGTGAGAGAGAGAGAGAGAGAGAGAGAGAGAGAGAGAGAGAGAGAGAGAGAGAGAGAGAGAGAGAGAGAGAGAGAGAGAGAGAGAGAGCGAGCATAAAGCTCTCTCTCTCTCGTTCGCAAGCACACATAGACATCCTACCATTTCTTGCTCACTTTCTGAATCGGATATCTCAGAGCTCTATGTTTTCCTCATTTTGTGTCTTTTTCTTTGACTTCTCTGTTTTTTCACAAGAATTAGATTTTCTTTTCACTGCTGGTACTTTAAATAGATTTTCTTCTTCTCTAAAGAAATCATTCTCCACCTCATCAATTTCAACTTCCATTACTTCATTATTTGTTGATTCTGCTGTTTCTCCATTTTTTCCTTTGTCTTCTTTCTCAATACTTTCTGGATTTTCATTAATCCAGTCCTGTTCTTCTACATTAATATCCTGATTTTCATCTTGATTTAGAGAAACATTTGCGTTTGTTATGCTTGCTTCATTTACTCGTTCAGTACAGGCGCGCACTAAATGCCCCTCTCTTCCGCAGCCGTAACACTTCATATTTTCAGTCGTTGCAAATATCACATATTCAAACCCATCTACTCTGAATTGGAAAGCAGCATTTATTTCTTCTACGTCTGACCTCAAAATCATGTAAACTTGCCGACGGAAAGAAACTACATGCTTTAGCAACGGAGACTTGCAACCTAGTGGAATTTTCTTTATTGCAGACGCGAACTGTCCATACCTTGACAGCTCACGTTGCAACGCTTCATCACTGATAAACGGAGGTACATTAGAGAGCACAACTTTTCTCGCTGGATTAACAAGCGGAAAGACTTTAACAAAACTATCATTAAGTACTAAACCACTTTCAACAATTTCGTTAACTTTTTCAACTTTATCCAGAAACACCACAACCGCGCCATTCATCCTAGATCTAATCTAATCTAATAATCTAATACGATCTAATACTATCATGACCAACAACCTCAGCTATCGCCAAAACAACCTTTTCGACAGGACATTCAGCTCGGACCGGCACTTTTAAACCGTGCCGCAGGCTGAGTTGCTCCAGATTGGCGTTCTCCGCCATCATCAAAGAAGCCAGTTCCAAACTGGCGACTTCGATCAGATCCCTTTTCACTTTTTAGTGCTTTGTGACCATATACCAGGTAGAAACAGTGACACAGTAAATCGATTAAAGTGAAAAGGTGTAAATTCACCAAACCTTAAGGTGAGGAAATACAAAAGATTCCACAGCCCCTCTCCGTGTATCACACTCGCTCCACATTCGTCCACACATGCGCACGAGAGAGAGAGAGAGAGAGAGAGAGAGAGAGAGAGAGAGAGAGAGAGAGAGAGAGAGCATAAAGCTCTCTCTCTCTCGTTCGCAAGCACACATAGACATCAACAAACAAGCTAAACGCAGCATCATGCAGTCTTTTACACACATACATACGCGTGCTCGATTAGGAGTCGGGAGCGATATTGTTGAACCGCCTGCTCCCATCCAAAATTAAACATGTTACCGACCGCTCCCGCGATATATTCGGAAATTTATTCCCGCGCCGCAGAAATGTGGTCAGGTCCCGCGGCTGTACGGGAATGCAGACCTCTAGTGCCAGGCATGAAAACTTGACAGGCGTAGCAACATTAACTGAAGAGGGCGGGGCTTAGCAAAGGGTCAATTCTCCATATAACCATATATATTTTAACTAGAAACTAAGGTTTTTTTGCACTGCACCTGATAATCAACAGTAAAAATAAGTAATTTTACCTCTTCCCAACAGAGAAAACCAACCAACAATCAAGAATGCATGATTCAATGCTGTCATGGCTTTACAATCAAAAAATGTCAATATAAATGGAAGTTAATGGGGCAAAAAAAGCCACCAACATTACAAAAGCAGTCAATTTGCCCAGAGCAGGGGTCTCAAACTGCCGGCCCACAGGCCATTTGCGGCCCCCCTCCTCCTCCCTCCTGCCCGCAACTGACATCAAAAACATAATGAGATTCGGCCCAACAAAACCTATATTTTTGAGTCACTTTCATTGTTGTGCAGTCGCATATAGCCACTTGTGGTTTTGACCCCCACTAGATGACTAAAATCAGATTTATACGGGGTTTAATATATAGTTGTGTGGGATTTTGGTGACTGTCACTTTAAATTCAAATGAGATTGTGCTCTTTTCAAAAGAGGGCGGAGCTACAAATGCCTGTGTGTCAGCATAGTGGCGGATTCAAAAACCAAGACGAATGCTCTATGCAAATGAGGGAAAGATGTTCACTAGTGGGAGGGGCTTTCCCCTTCTGATGACACGTACAAATGGAGAGTGTCAATCAAAGTGTTTCTGCTTACTGTTTTCAAGTGCGATTATAAAAAATAAAAACAATACATTTTTACCATTAAAAGCTGGTTATATTCACAGTCTGCTGCCCCACAACTGTGTTTAAACCCCCTTTTAAAAGTCTTTTTTTTTTGCATAATAGACCCTTATTTAAATATTCTGTCAAGTCCAGAGAGTTAAAATCAGTGGGTAAAGCAGCTCTACCTTGTTGACTGGCTTCTCTGGCGTTTTCACTGCAGGCTCAGGCTGGAGTTGTTTGCCTTTCTTAGATGGGGTCCGTTTAATCTTCGGGGAATGAAACTTCATCAGTTTCATCGTGAAGGACGACAGGTGAGACTTCTGGGATTCTGCAAAGCAACATACAATTCAGATTAGGCCTGTACAATATTGGAAAAATCTGACATTGCTGATTGTTTTGTTTTGCTGCGATACATGTTGCGATATGAATTTAATCTCAGCAGATGATTTGAATAGCTCTATTTAAAAAAAATTCATTCATTTAGATCGACTGGGACGATCAAATCTTGTCCTATGCCGTGCATCTGCGTAAAATATAATAAATTACAAGCATTTATAAATACAACAGAGCACAAATAAAAGCGAATTACAGAGTGTTTTATGGTTTTCTGGAGAGCCAAAAAAAATATACAGAAAAAAAATTGAATATTCAAATGCATAATAACATGGTCATAATTGTATGAATATTTTTAGGAATGATATATTTTAATCTTTAATAAATAATAGCACTATTGCGATATGGATTCTCAAACAATATATTGTTTAGCCTTAATTCAGACTGTTCAGTAAAGCCAGGCTTCACCTCACTCAAGAGTTTTTGGTTTTCAAAGACGACAGATACATTCACGCATGCACACACGCGCACACACACGCACACACACAAACACACACACACACACACACACACACACACACACACACACACACACACACACACACACACACACACACACACACACACACACACACACACACACACACACACACACACAGTGTGTGAGAGAGAGAGAGAGAGAGAGAGAGAGAGAGAGAGAGAGAGAGAGAGAGAGAGAGAGAGAGAGGCAAGGCAAGTCAAGGCAAGGCAAGGCAAGTTTATTTATATAGCACATTTCATACACAGTGGCAATTCAAAGTGCTTTACATAAACAAGAATAAAAGAAACAAGTAAAATAAAAATAAAAACAAATAATAAAAATGCATAAAAACAAAACATAAAAACAGGTAAGATGTGATATAAAAGAATGAAGAAGAGAGAGAGAGAGAGAGAGAGAGAGAGAGGATCTGTCACTGATGGCATATTTACATATTTACCACAGACTATCGATGTAAGATAAGAGTCATTTATATAGTCAACACAATTAAACTATACAAATAAACAAGCGCAAGCCTTGGCGGAGATAAAAATCACCAAACAAATGTGCTCCCACAGGCAATTACGTAAACAAGCATCCCCGTCTGTAGGGTTTTATCATAATTGGAATTTTATGGGTCATAATTACAGAGAAAGAGAAAACACAAATGCGCGCACACACATGCGTACACATACATGGTTAATGTCTTTATTTATCATCAATTTTCTTTATATCTGCTGCTAAAAATACTCACATGTTCAATCATTACAAGAAAAACTGTGTTTTGAGTTTGTTGCCATAAAACAGGGATGCCCAAACTCAGTCCTGGAGGGTTGGTGTCCTGCATATTTTAGTTCAAGCCCAATTAGACAAACCTAAACCAGCTAATCAATCTTTCTAGGTATAGACCTTATCCTTAGAATGCAAAATTACCCCTTGTGTTTTGCGTATATGCGCAAGGAGAATGCTAAGAACTTCCGGTCGACATCTGATGCGTATAAAGAGTCACATTCAGACTAGGGATGCACGATCCCATTTTTTAGAACCGATCCGATCCTGATACAAACATTCTGGGTATCGATCGATACAGATCAAAACAGTATTAACACACAGTTGAGAAAGGCTGGTCTGGCTTCTTAACTAAAGGTCAATACTAGAAACTTCCAGGCAGGCGTGTTGAAATAAGTTGGAGCTAAACTATGCAGCCCTCTAGGATCGTGCTTGGGCACCACTGCTATAAGTCCTAATAAGAATGAATCAGGAAATATTTAGTTACACTGACAAGGGGCAGAGGGTTGCTGAAGAACTACTGAAAGTTTTCAGCTGCTGTCTGGGCCTTCACTGCCTTTTTACGCCTCCCTTTCTTCATGTGTTCAATACTTTTTTCCTGTGTCATTTCATCTTACTACACATTGTTGTTTGCTAGGCGACCATCAACAGTTTTCTCAGAGGATGACAAGCTGACAAAACATTGCTGTCACTCTGATACAAGTTTTATTTATGGAGAAAATTAAAAAGCACTGACTCAGCATGAATGCCGTTTTTCAGTAGGTTTCAGTGACATCTCATCCATCAACACAGTACAAACCATCACCAAACATATAAAATAAAGAAAAGCAGGCTACTATCTCAGTGGCTACAGCGATAATTGACCATCAGATGACGAGCATGTGACTTTTTAAAAAGTCTCAGTGTTGGTATTGTTTTGAGATGTTGCTGGATCTCATTCCAGGCTGTTGTGAAAACATAAAAGAAAGATCTCTGTCCATAACAGTTTTTAAAAGCCGGTACTGGCAAACATCCATTTGTTACAGATCTGGTGGAACGATCAGACTTTGTGTTGAGTTTTGGTACCAAAGCACAAAGGGGCTGCTGAGGTAGAGCTATTTAAATTTTGATACCTGTGTTCATAATGTAGTTTTGAAATGTTAAAGCTTTAGAAAGTTATAGAGCAAAACAGTGATGTGTCCATCCAGAAAGTCTGTTGTGGATCTTATGGGCCCTATTGTACAGTCTAGCTATTGGCTCCAAGATATCGTTTGTTGTGAGAGACCAAATAGGCAGACAGTAAGACAAGGTAGACAAGATTGTGGCATGCAGATACGTTTCTGAAACAGAAAAAGACAAATTTGTCCTAATTTTGCCATAAACAAAGCTTTTGTTTCATCTTTTTTCAGCAATTAGGCGACCGAAATGTGAATTTCCATACAAGCTGAAGCTGATCGGTCAGTTCTTGTTCAATTCAATTAACCTTTATTTGTACAGTGCTTTTACAATGTAGATTGTGTGAAAACAGCTTCACATAGAAGATCATAGTAAATTGAAACAGTGTCAGTTCAGTTTTCAGTGTTTAAGTTCAGTTCAGCTTAGCTCAGTTCAGTGTGTTTTAAAGGGTCACGAAACGCCAAAACACATTTTTTGAGCTGTTGACAGTCGTATATGTGTCCCACACTGCTAAAAACACTATTAGGACACCTATATTTCACTAAAAAGTGTAAATTGGTTGTTTTTGCGTTATTTCAAGCAAATTTGTACTTCCTGTTTGAAACGAATTTTTGAAGCTGCGTCACGGTCATGACATAATAGCGTGTATTCCAGCGTGTAGACTGGGCGTCTGTGCCAGAGTGAGTCTTATTACGTCTTACAGTGTGATGCATTAATGCATGAGTAAGGCTTGGGTTAAACCAATCACCGCGCTCTATTGTGCAACTTCATTAATATTCATTATTGTCACCGTGTTTACCCCACAAAGACGCCACGTTGTGTTGGCAAAACAAGCATGACGTGTTGCTTTTATAGTTTGCTGCTGTTAAGTTTTGTTTTCATTTTCTCTCTGTGAGAGCTCTGAGTCACGTGTGGATTAACAGTGTACGCGACGCTCGACAACAATAACTTACGTGTCTAAGGAGGATTATTGTTTACCTGAGAGCTGTTCTCATCTGCAAACGCTGAAATCCGGATTCGCTTGTAGTCTCCTCTTAATAAAGACGCGGCTGTAGTTGCTGGTGATTGTCCTGTCTCTACAGATTTGGTAAGTGAGCGACCAGTGCTCTTTGTTTATTCAGTTTGTTCGTATCGAATTAAGTTAACTATTGCACTGAGTGCAGAAATGTTAGCACCGCATTTTGTGACCGGAATAACACACGCGGCTTTCTGACACTACCTGCCGTGTGCATCTAAGTTTCCGGGAAATGCTGAGGTTTTTTTTCTCTCATTCGCCGTGCGGTATCAAACATTGCATGAAAAATAGCTTGCAGCAGTTCCTCGAACCAAATATCTCGTTTGTCGCGAGGGGCATGAATGAATTCCCTGAATAAAAGAGCCAAACTGCAGTTAAAGTCCAACATTTAATAATTTGGCAAATAATTCGACTACAGATGTCCATGTAGGTTAAACACCATCACTTTCTCCTGTATGTGTGTGTGTGTGTGTGTGTGTGTGTGAGTGTGTGTGTATTTTGACTCTGAAACTCGCGCGTGCACAAATAGACACTCCCACACCATCCCACTTTAGTTCCTCCGACACTCCCCCCTAAACAGAGCTGGACACGCCCACTTTTCTGACTTTTTCCAAAGTAGAGGTGTGAAAACACCCTGCTGAAACGAGGGGGTTTCATGGCCCTTTAATAATCACTACTGAGAGTCCAAACACTGAAGAGTAAATCCATCGATGCGCAGCTCTACAGATCCGGAACCATGCAAGCCAGTGGCGACAGCGGCAAGGAAAAAACCTCAAGAGAAACCAGGCTCAGTTGGGCGCGACCATTTCTTCTATGGCCAAACGTATTGTGCAGAGCTGCAGTCTAGGCGGCGGAGGGTGGAGAATGCTGAAACTTATCGAAGACTTGTCTGTCCTTGTAGCGTCACAGGAATCAGTCTCATGCTTTCCCCTCCTTCATGACCACCACAGCAGCTGCTCAGGATACGGCCTGGTCCAGGATTATGGAAACCTTGGGATCATTTCGAAACGAATCAGTGGTGCTGCATAGTCAAAGGGATGAGTGTCCCCAGGTGAAAATAGAAAATAAAGAAAATAATTAGCATAGCTAATGAGCACGTGACTTGCGATGCGCTCGCGGAATTCATTCAACTTAGTGCGTCTGGAAGGGGCGAGTGCGATGCCGCTTGCGGTTGCAGGCCGCATATCTCCCTTGGAAAAAACGAACTCACACAAACTCTAGAAATGAAAAAACATGCAAACAGCCACAGACATGGTAGCTTCACTTGATTTGTTGATAAGTGGGCTGTGGATCCATTCCTTGGCTGTTTGCGGGTGCTTTACTGGCCTTTCCCCCTTAGTAAAAAACTTTCTAAAGACGTCCGTTTCTTACTCATTTTGCTGCTTGTGGGTTAAATCTGGGCGCTCAAGTGACCGAGATGTAAGCGAGAGAATCCGGTCATTTTTCAAAATAAAAGATCATTTAAAAAAATAAATAAAACGGAAATAATTAATGATTTCTTCTGTGGCTCGGTACCATT